TTTATCTTTAATTCAAAATCCTTAACTTTTTCAACTTTATTTTTGATAATGTCTTTAATAATATTATTATTAATATATTTATCTCTGAAGTTTTTCATTTTTTATTTAACTAATAATAGTATTTATTTTACTTTGATATCCTTAATACTTTTCATCCTCAAGTTTATAGTAATTATTAACAATTTCTTTAATGATTTTCTCTTAGTTTTCATTATATTCTTGAATATATTTTTCATATAAATTATCTTAAAAATAAATATTTATAAACTGTTGTTTTAATAGTTTGCTAATTAATTCCCTTAAATTTTATTTAATATTTTTATTATAATGAGAAAATCTCTTACTCATATCTATTAATATTTAGTAAATTTTTTATATTACTTCTTATTTAAATTTAATTTCTTTTTCTTTACTTATCTCTTTTAGATTTTTAATTTAGTATTTTTTATTCTTTATTAGATAATCATTTTTTAATATTTTAATTTATTGATTAGTTTTTTATTTTTTGTTATTATTATTTTAAGATGTTTATTATAATTTTTTTATTTGTATTTTTTTTATTTATTCTTTTAATATATTTATATTTTTAAAATATATTAAGTATATAATTATTTTAATATTTTTTTACTTTAAATATAAATAAAATTAACAATATTTATTAAAAGATTAAACTTATTAAATATAATAATAGTAAAAGATAAATTAACAAATAATAAAGTTATAAAGGTGATTTTATTTTAAATATTTAAGCATCATATTTTAAGAAATTCAATTTATTATATTCTTTTAGATCAGTTAAAAATCTTTATAGACTAATTTATAAGAATATAATTAATTGAGTTATTCTATTAATATTTTTTTTTAGACTTAATAATCTATAGATTTTTACATAATTTTCTAACTATTTTTATAATATTTTTTCAATTATTATTTTAGTTTTTTATTAAGACATTTTTTTAATATTATCATAAGTTTTTAATAGAAAACTATTATTTATTAGATGTTTTCTAATATTTTCAAAATAAGTCTAATTAATTTCTAATATATTGAGATAAAGTTTATATGTTAATTTTGATCAAAATTACATATTATAGGATTAAATTTTTTTATTTTACATAATTCAGTTTTAAATGATCTACTAATTAAATTTGATAAAATTTATATTATTAGATTCATCTTGATAGAGAAATTTAAGATAGTAAAATAAAATTTTAGTATTAAAATTAATTGAATTATTATAAAAAATGCTTTTAATTATAAGAGATATTTAAGATTCTTTATCTTAAATTAGACTATTAAAATATATCTTATTTTGATTTAGAAAGAGCTTAAAATTCTCTTAATTCTACAAGTTTTTTCTTGAAAATTTTTTAAAAACAATTACAATTACAAATTTTTAATAAAAATTAATTGCTTTTTGATATTCATTAGAACCATGATACTTATTATTACTTTTTATATATACTTATTTCTATATATATAATTTTATGTTTATTTTATAGATTTATTTTTATGTAAAAAATTAAAAATTAATTACATAAATATAAAAATATAAATTTTTATAAACTAAAATAAGGAAACTCGTAAGTTAGAAAAATTTATTATATTTTATTTGTATTTAATTATAATAAATCAATTGTAAATATTTAATAAATTTAAATTTTATCTATTTTATTAAATTCTAATTATCTTTATTATTATAATAAAATTATTTTAAAATTACAAATATGCTATATAACTATATTAAAATTAATTATGAAATATTTATAAATATTAAAAGTTATATTCTTTATTTGTAATTATTCAATTCTTTTTTCATAAATATCATACTTTCAAATATTTTTCAATTTGTTGACTGAAGGAGATTATTATCATATATTTGTTTAATTAGTTTATTGATTTGAATATCTAATAACTATAAAATATTAAAGTTAAATTATAATAGATATCTTATTGCTTTTTCTTTTCCTTTTTAATCAAATTTATAATTTTTATTGCTAATTTTTTTTTTTCTTTATAAAAAATATTATATTTTTATAAATCACTATTAATTAATCCTTCATTATGCATTTTCTGAATTGTATTCTTGATTTTTCTTTAAAGTTTCATTTTTTGATCTTTTTCAAATGAAAGATTTATTAATAATTTGTAATCTGAAAAATACTTTATTGTTGCCATTTTTCAATCACAATTAATGTTTTATACTCATAGATCTTTGAAGCAATATTATTATTTGCATAAAATTTATACATATCTAACTCATAGTTTGTAATAAACTTTACAACAATTTTGAAATATTTTTGCTGATCCCTATTTTTACAATTTACCTTTACTTAATTTTTCTTCATATTCAAATGGTATTTTATATCCATCATCAAGCATCTTAAATGATATAATAGAGGAAAATTTCAATGATATAGTCTAAATTGGAGAAGTATAATAATCTTTAATAACTGAACAGCTTTTTAAAAGCAAGCAACATCCTTCCAATTATTTGTTCTCTTTGATTCAGTAAATTCAAAAAGTCTAATGAGACCTTCAATTAAATAGTCTCCATTATAAAAGCACCAAGCAATTCCAAGATGTGATGCTGATAAAAAGAAAAAATAAAATTAGTCAAAAAATAACAAATGCATATGCATTATACTAACCAGTCAGACATAACAAAAGACATGGTAAACGTGTTATCCGTACATAATTTTCTTTCAAGCCTTAAATCCATTTCCAATCATATCACAAACTTGTTTAAATGCATTACCTTCATTATCATTTTTAACTTCCAAAATTACAGGTATTTTGTCTTCCTGAAAAAATACAACCATCTGTGGAGTAAGTAATACCATTTGTAGATATAGATCCTAAATTTAACGTAAATCCTAAATAACTATTGATAAGTTCACGAAATTTGTCTCGCCTTTCCCCCTCTACAAGGTAAGTTACTGTCATTGCTTCAGTAAATTTCATCACAATGATATGTGAGAATCGAATTCTAACCCTATTGTTTGACAATCATCAATAAAATTGCAAACTCAGGATGGTAAGCACAGGTTGGAGTGATTATGGATAGCCATTATAAAACAGGTTTTGCTTATGCACTTCGATGTAGTCTGATACTTTTCCAAGACTGGAATGGAGCCGTAGTCAACTTTTTTCCTTTCAATAAATACCATCAACATGTTCTTCTACCTTACGCTTTCCTATTACATTTACAAAAAAAAGCAAACACTCTCTTAAATGGATAAATGAACAATGAATGAAATAATTTTTTGTATATTTGTAATTTTTTTTTTTACGCAATTTGTTCATAACCTTCCCCTCTACTGAATTCTCATTAACGCCCTTCCTCACTCCTTCACCTGCTCCTTCCAGTCGTTCATGTCTTTCTTCAATTCTTCTTTTTCTTTCAACTACCTATCTCTTCTCTCCTCCGAATTCTTCCTCTGCTTCACTCAAGTTCTCTTATCCTCTAACTCGTTCAACTTTTCTCCTTTATACTTCCCTACTTCCCTTTCTCTAACTTTTCACTACCTTTCTATATTCTTCCTTTGTATCGTTTAATTTTTATTGATCATTTTATCTATTTAATTATTTTAAATGACATAATCACGTAGATCTTTCCTTTTGAATAATTATATTTTACATAATAGTGACTTTTTTTACGGCCTTACCTAAATCGATTTTGAATTTATCACTATCAGATGATCAGGGTTTATCTTTAAATAATTCATAATTAATTTTAAAAAAAGCCTCGTTTGGTATTTGGACTAGTTTAAAATATTTTATTATGGGAGTTTTACATTTTTTCTGGTACGAAATTTAACTCCGATACGTTTCTTAATTCAATGCAATTTATTCTAAATTTCAATCTTTTTCTCAAATTTTAGGTGGTTATGTTATAAATATCCACAAATCATTGAAAAGGTCAACACATCCGATGAATTCGATAATTTATATTTGGATATGAATGGTATTATTCATATTTGTTGTAATCAAGATAAAGGGGTAAACTTTTTTATATAATTCATCAAAACTCTTAAGGTCATTGGTTTATTCAATTTTCATTTTATTATTATAAAGTCTTCTCCTGCTACAGAAGAAGAGATGATGATGAAAATATGCGATCACACTGAGCGGATATTTGATATGATTCGACCTCAAAAAGTTTTATATATTGCTATTGGTAAAATTTGTGTACATATAATTATTTATCTTTATTAGAGTAGAGGCAGATTTAATTATAGTATACTTTTTTTTATTTAGACGGAGTAGCCCCTCGTGCTAAAATGAATCAACAGAGATCTCGTAGATTTAGAAGCGCACAAGAAGCACAAGAAGAAGCTCAAAAAAGGAGATCTCGAGGTATGTTGCATAAATGTATGGATAATAATTCATTACAAGTTAACATTTGATTAACCTAATAATATTATTGCATCAGGTCAATCTATAGATACAGAAAAAAAGTCATTTGATAGTAACTGTATAACACCAGGTATCTCATACGGTTGAATGATATAAATTTGCCCAACTTTTGAAACATAAATAAAATTTCTTGGAAAGTTGAAGTTCTGTTTTGACTTTAACTGATAAGCCTATTTATATTTGATGTATCCATCTATTAATCAGATGTTTAAAGTGTTCAATATGATTAACCATTAATTACAATATTCAAAATAATAGGTACGCTTTTTATGGCAATTGTTGCATTATCTTTACGAAATTGGATCGCATATAAACTTAACAATGATCCAGGATGGAGTAATGTATGTGGCACTTGTTAAACTTTTTTTTTTGGATTTCTATTTAAAAAAAGATATTTTTATAGATATTTCTATATAATTAATTTATAGTTAAAGGTCATATTATCTGATGCGAGTGTACCAGGTGAAGGTGAACATAAAATTACGCAATTTATTCGTGTACAACGTGCTAGTAATCCTAATACTCGTCACGTAATATATGGCTCGGTCAGTTCTTTTTTTTTTTTAAAAATAAATCACTTGATATATTTATTAAGTATTAAAATTTACTTCGTTTTATTTAGGATTCTGATCTCATATTCCTTGCGTTGGCTACACATGAACCTCATTTTAGAGTGCTACGAGAAAACCAACAAAGTATTTATGTGGATGTTTCTATATGGCCAATTTAATTCATATATTTAACTTTTATGATATGTATATTTTTTTATAGAGTCGGTTTTTGATATTATAAACGTTCAAGTTTTTCGAGAATATTTGAAAAAGGAACTTGAAGTATCCAGCTTGCCCTGGTCATTTAATTTGAAAAATGCGATCGATGATTGGGTCTTTCTTAGCTTTTTCGTGGGTAATGATTTTCTTCCTCATATTCCGTTTTTGGATATCAAGGAAAATGCGATAGACAACTTGATTACTATATGGAAAAGATGTCTTCCATCAATGGGTGGTTATTTGACAAATAGTGGAGATGTAGGTTTTTTTTTTCCTTTAACTAATTTATTATTATATACAAAGTTCAAAAATATTAAACATTCAATCTTTAGTTGGATTTAAAAAGGTTGCAAAACTTTATTACAGAACTTGATAACGAAGATAAAAACGCTTATATTCAATGGTATAAAAAAGGTAAGTCCATTGTCATACCAGATTTGCTATATTTAATCTAAATGTTACGTTATTGAAGCGGAGTTAAAAATACTTTGGCATTGCTGTTTCAATTTCTGATATTTCTGAAATTTCCAAGTACATCGATTAAATGAATCCTATTATAATGTTTAATTGAAATCACTAGCACAAGACTCAACAAAGAATACGGATGATTATAACGCTATAACTAGGTAATTAACTCAATTTCTTTAATATTGGTGATTTTAACACTAATAGGATAATTAATTAATCGACTATGGAATCCGGATTTAAAAGAAGATACTATGAACAAAAATTTAAAGATATTCATCCAGATGAAGAATTTCGGAAGAAGTAAGTTAGTTATTTCATTCTCCTAAAAATTAGTAATATATGTAATTTAAATGAATTTTTTTTTTTGTTATTATTTTTCAGAATTGTAAAAAATTATATTGAAGGCCTTTTTTGGACTTTGGAATATTATCGTCGGGTATAAATTTTATTAAAATAAATATTATATATATTTGAGAAGGTATATGCTGCTAACACTTGATGATACATAGGGAGTTCCTTCTTGGACATGGTATTATCCTTACGGTTACTCACCATTTGCATCAGACTTGATAAATATGGGTGACATTAAACCTGAATTCAAATTAGGTAAGCCATTTAAACCATTCGAACAATTAATGTTTGTGTTACCGCCATATAGGTAAATAAATATATTGAATTTTTTTTACGTTTTTAAGTTATCAATTTTATCATTTATATAATTGTATTAACTTAATTAATATTAATAGCAAGGAACTTTTGCCGTTACCATACCAAAAGCTTATTACTGATGAAAGTAGTGAAATAAAAAAATTTTATCCTGAATCATTTGAAATTGATAAAAACGGGAAAAAACAATTATGGCAAGGTAGGAGATACACGCTATTATTGAAATTTTGTTCTTTATAAAATAATATAATATTTATTTTAAATTCTTTATAGGAGTTGTTCTGCTTCCATTTATCGATGAATCACTTTTACTTAAAAACATGAAATCGGTATCTTCTCAATTAAAACCCTGTGAAATTGAAAGAAATTCTCATGGTTTTGATATCCTTCTTTTTAGCAATAAGCATGAATTATATAATAAATTGTATCCTTTGTATTTAGAAAGGAACTCAGTAGAGGTGAAACGATTTATTTTTGAACTTTTCGAAGCGTCAATAAATTTTATTAATATATAAAACGAATTTATAATAGATACCATTAGATCCAATTGAAGATAAAATGATTGGATTAGTTTCAAGAGATCCAAGTTATATTGCTTTTGACGGATTGAGGTATTTTTGATTCATCATCATCATCACTATTTTTATTATTTAAATTAAATTATCTTTTAATCATTTTGCATATATATAATTAGTGTAAGATATCGCACAGAATCTTCCAGTAATTCATGAATGGATATTTTCCGCAATGATGATACGCGTAATGACAAGTTATTTATTTATTGAGATTAAAATAATTTATATTTAATAAAATGTTATTTTGTATTTATATAAACTATCTGAAATGAATACAATTTTTAGTGTCGTACAATTTAAGATTATCAATTTTCAATTTGAATAGAAATTTTTTTTTTTTTTATTTAATAAATGGTGGTATTTGTGTGAAAAATGTAGTGATATTGACCAGAACACTTAAATTGTTATTCATATCTCATATTGATAATAAGTAGTCTGGCGATTAATTACCCACTAGCGGAAACTATTTACGAGAATCCTTTATTAAAGTGTCATTGATAGCTTTGATGAATTTCTTTATATAATTGACATCTTTTGGAGTATCTTGCTTTGTAAACTCAATTAATTGTTGTGTTAGATTTGAATCTGAAATAATAGTGTTTATTACCTGAATTTCCTTAAAAGTGCACATATCTATAACATCGATACTATCTGAAATTTTAATACAAAACTGAGCCAATGCAAAACTGACTTTAACCAACTTAACATCCGGTTGCTTTCGAAATACGTCACCAAAAGTTTGCAACGCTAATCTCCAATTACCTTGCCTCATATAGCAAAATCCGAGTAAAAGGTATGAGATGGCCGAGTCATCGGACGATAAAAGCAGTGCAAATTCTTCCAGATTTTGCATTTCGCTATGGATATTCCCCAAGGCACCTGCGCTATTAATGATAATGTATCTCGCTAAAAATTTAATAGGAATGTCTTCTATCTTATCCTTTAATGCCATCTGAATCGCGATGGGTAAAATGGGTATTTCGAATTCTTCGAAAGACATATCGGCACTTGAACTTTCTGTCAATCTTTGAATAGCATTTTCCGCGTGAATAATTGCCTGTTCGTAATAATTATAGATAAAATATGCCATAGAAAGCATCATTTGTACGTTAGCCGAGTCATAAGTCTCGATAGCATTATGGTATTGTTTAAAGATACCATCCCGTATTTGTTGGGTCATAGAATCACTTTTTTTCGCTTTAATAAAGTCAATGGTTGCGATTGACGACAAACCCATGCTCTTTGCCATCGGATTTTTGGATACTTGGACAATTTCCCTACAAAGGATTTTGCTTTGATCAAGATTCCCTTCCGAAAAGCGTTTCTTGACTTCAAACCACTTTTGTATCACAATCAAGTAATCTTCCATGTGGTTAGTATAAGCTAAGATAACGTGTGCATTTGTAAGGAGATAGTTATCTTCTGGATAAAAAGCAGAGAGTAGCTGAATGGCCTTGGAAACAGCTTGACGCGATCTAACGTTCATTTCAAGGGCGATACTTGTTTCCTCTTCCGATTCTGCTATAACGTTAAAATCTATTGAAATGTTAAGTGAACTTGCCAACCATAACAAGGTAGAACCTGCATTATACGCGTAGGCTTGGGTTCCTTCTTGGTAGAGTTGTTTTTGTAAAGACTCTAAAGACTCATATACATCCAGCATTTTTACAGGCATCTTGCTTTCTTGATAGACCTCCATAAGTGCACGTAATGTCCTTTCCTTGATATTTGGCCTATCGAGATGATGATCATTATAGAAATTTATGCATTCCCTTAACAATTCTATATGTCGCGTTTTATCAACCCCTAAGTATCCATTTGCTAAAGTCTCCATGGTGTTGAGTATGTTGATCTCCTTCTCCGCTCGTTCTTCAATACTTAAACTAGGATATGTTAAGTTATAATCGCGTTTAAAGATTTCCAAAGCTTCCGTGCCAAGGGTTAATCGTTTTGAGCTATCTCCAATATTTCCGAATGCGTTTGCGAGATCATATAAGCTTCGCGCGTATAATGGGTCATCTTTCTCATATAATTGGGCTTTAATGGCATGCGCCTCTTGAAGTAGTTTCAATTTTTGATGATAGTTTGAGGCATGGTATTCAGCAAATGCAAGTAAAGTGATAATTTCCGCATATTCCTTAGAATTCTTGTTTATGTCATACTTATCATATAATTCAATCAATAATTTTAAATAAGTATTTTGATCGAACCTTTGCAAGTTATTAGAAATTCTGCACAAGTTAAGAAGATGGTCCCTGAAAAAAATAACGATATCCATTTCCATATCATCTTTTTGCTTATTGAGAGGTACGTGAAGTTTAAGCAAGGTCTGACAATAGATATCCATCACTCGTAACCATTCGGCATTCACCTTGTCACGTTTCTCTAGGTAAAGGTAACAAGCTATAATGAGCTTTTGTAAAGCATATATTATGTAGTTTTTATGAAAGTTGAAACTTAAGATCGCTCCAACGAAATTGCGGATATGAATAAATTCGTTTTCACTCGTTAACCAGTTGAGATTGAATAGGATCAAGAGAATATGGTTTGCGTGTTCTTCGGTTAAACCTAGATGAATTAATGCGAACCGAAAGAAATCCTTAGGAGCCTTATCCCCTATGAGATGCATTAAATAAAACAAGCAATCGTTGTTGATCAATTCGGTATAATTTGCCTCGTTTTCGGCAAGCGTTTTAAACTCATTAACCAAAATTAATTTACTAGCCGAAAAATTAAATAGAAAATATGTGCATGTATCATTAAGGTGAATAAGGCTGGTATGAAGCTCGGACTTGACCGATTGCAAAAAATCACAATAGGCTTTAACACTCTTCGATTTGCCAATCGTGATGCAAGCGGCAGCCAAATCCATAGTAATCGGAAATTGTCCCGTTAGTTCCAACAGTTGTTCAAATTCCTCATCGTTTTCACAATTAATAGAGTACTTTTCGAGCGTATTCCTTAAATAATGTCTAGAATCAAAATCAGGTGGAGACGTTTCCGCTTTGATTGCCTTTAGAAAGAGGGTCTCTATCGCATTTCTAGGTGATACGTGTGCGCGAATTTCATCCAACAATCGTTGTCCATTATCTATCACTTTTGAATAGCCGCTAATCAATTCAATTAAATCAGGCCGATGTAAACCATCCGCTTTTAACAATTTCCCCACTAATTTATTAATTTCCCCTTGGTATAATGCTATATCCCATTTGTATCCTGATACACCGGTTTCCAATAATTTGCTTGCTAATTTATTAATTTCCCCTTTGTTTATTGCCATGACAACTTGTTGATTTGTCATTCCTAAAATTTGGTCTTGATTATGCTCTGAAAAGTACGACATGATCTGCACTTCAAGCAGCTTTTGTTTTAATTTTTTAATTTTTAGAATTCCTTCCAACGAAACATAATCTAGTTGCTCGAGCTCATTTCCTGAATAAGAATCATCCAAATTAGCTATTGTTGCTGACATGGCATCGACATGCGGTAAAGCCGAATGATAATCCTTTCTTGTCAATACAGCATCGAGAAAGCGCATAATGGCTTCTAGCAGTAAGTTTGGTTGCAATTTTTCTGCATATTGATAAGCCTTTTCAGCGTACAATAAGGCGCGCCCTTCCTCCTTAGATTGTTGGCAAATCTCATTTAATTTCATGAGAGTGGCTAGATAGTCGGGATAAATCTTAGGCAGGTCCTCGTAAATACGATATGATTGCAGCAATTTTTCTTCCGCACCCTTTGTCTCCTTTCCAAGTAGATCAAGGATGGCCAATTGGTAATATGCTTTTGCGAGGTCGCTGTGACTTTCACCGCAGTATTCGGTAATAATTTTAACAGCTTCACGTAGTCTTTGTTCGCTTTCCAGCCGTTTATCATAGTGAATCCAGATATCAAAAGCATCCAGATAAAATTTGGCGAGTTGCAATTGATGATAAGAATTTCTTGTAAAGGTATTTTGATACAACGTCATGGCCTTTTCATAATACTCGTAGGCGCTCTTGTAGCCTTTTCTCGATTGCTCAAGTTTCATGTAGCTATGCAAGAGGTTAAAGTTAATGGCTTTGCTCGTGAGCTCGTGTTCTACGACAGATAACAATGAGGAAACATAGTCCAATTGTTTTTGAGCCGGAACAAATTCTCCAACAAGACATAACGTATTGGCGAGATCCATGTAGGCCGCTAGCAACCGGTTTGCAACTCTACCTGCGTAGAGGGTGGTGAGTATCTTAATAACCAATTCTCTATATTCTACGGCTTGCTCTCGCTGGTTGAATCGCTCTGCGATTTCAGCCGCTTGTTGATATATGTCGACTAATTTGGTATGTGCTCGCTTTCCATAAAGTTTGTCCGTATATTCGAGGGCGCATTCAACGTAGTATTTGCTGCGATCGTATCGTTTTTGATTCGCATACCATTTCGCGTTGCTAATATAAAAATCAATCATCACATGATTTTTCAGCTGGTCGGGGATACGTTCAACCGTCTCATTGGCTTTTTTTAAATGAATCGATTCACCCATCGGGTTTCCTAATAGACTCTCAATTTGTGCAGTGATGCAAAGTGCTTGTACGCATTCTATGGAGTTCTCTTGATGATTGTCCGCAAGCTCACTTAGGATAAGGTTAAACTCCTCGAGTGCTTCCTTATGGTTTTCCAACGCCAATTTTAGGTAGCCTAAATTGAAACGGTCGGTAATATCTGGTGTCTTATGCGTCAAGTATTCTTTATAGGCTTCGTAAGCTAATCGCGGTTTCTCCAAGTGAAAGTACAATCGAAACAATTGAAAGTGAGCATCCTCTGATCCCGACTTTTGCGCTTCAAGCAACAAGAGTTCTGCTTGTCGATACAACATGAACCGGAAGCAGATCGTGGCCTTCGTCGTTATCCTCTCATCCAAAAAGTTTTCCATGGTGTTAATCTGATCCGGAGTTTCCAGATCAATACTCGTTTTTACAAAATGGTAAAGAGGTATCGCGATTTGATAAAACCTCATTAGATCACTGATATCGTCTATGCCTAAAAAACTTTCAACTTCTGAGCTGCTGGAGAACTCGGTAGCATTCCGGATACTTAGTCTTTCGCTTTGACTACCATGAGTGAGATAGGTAAACAAACGGGCTTGCAAGGCCACGGCAGTCATAAACTCGAGCTGAGCCGCTCCCGTTTGATTGAAAATATTCATTTCCAAGAGTCCTGAAATTTTATCCCATATCGTTTCACCAGACGTTGCAAAATTGATCCGCAACCCTTCAATTAATCTGTCCGGTAAGCGGTAAATTTCAGTTTTAATGTTTAATAACTTTCCTTCATCGCTGACCTTATCGATGCGGATTTTATACTTGTCTAAATCAGCTTGCAAGTTTTTGGTACCAATCTGCAGTAGCACCTTGGCCATCCGTTTATGAAAGGGCAACTGATCCACGCCTCCTTTTTGCAGCAACTGTTGCTTGACCATTTGCTTGTAATTTTCATATAACTTTTCGTTTCCTGTCAAGAATCGACAATCGATTAATTCGGTTACCAGCAATGGGTCGTTCTCGAACGTGATGGGGTTGATGTAATTCGCCATCTTTTGAGGGGTTTGTATCAGATCATAATCCTTATCCGAACGTCCAAGCGGTGTTTTTCCTCCCAAGTCAAACTGAAATCCGGGTTTGAGTAGGTCGTCAAAATCGATACCACTGATTTTATTAGGGACTTCAAATAAACTCCAAGGAAGCGCGGTTTGTCCGAGACTGATAACGATAAAATTCATCAAATGAACCATCCGTTGCAACGCTTCCTTCAACTTTAGATTATGGTCATTGATCAGAATACAAAATTCTATATCTGAATAGGGAGTGGCTGTACCTTTTGCCCACGATCCCAATAGCACAACCGCAAATTTTTGCATGTTTATGTTATCGTCATGAAGGGCGTCAATTGCGAGTTGCGTAATATCATAAAGTAGTTTATGCAATGACATGTTAAGCTCTCGATATCCATCCTTAATTATGTTAACTTTTTCGGAATTATCCTTTGCTTCTTGGGCTTGAAAGATGATGCCCTTGGCTTGATTGCATTGAATGTCTCTAATTGATTTGTGAAGCTCATCAACACGGACGAAAAAATCCGTTAAATCATTATTGGTTCGCAATACCCTTTTGAATAAAAAATCTTTTAATGTTAATATCTCATGAATCGTTATTAGATCTTTCTTTGCAATATTGTTAACGGCCTTAAAGATCTTATAAACGGACAAGCAACGATCAGCCATCTTTAAAGTAATCACATTCTCTTTATTAACAAGGTTCTGCCAAAGCTGTTGACCAATTTTCTTGAGTAATCTCGCAATTTCATTAGTATCATTTACAACTTTAGATTTGATTAACAAATCAATTTCAGGTACGAATTCTTCCATACTTTCTCGATTGTCTGAGAATCAAACGTTGAGAAATTTCTTTCTTTTTTTTTTTTTGAAAATTCGAGAGGAATTTTTCAGAATTAAAGTTTTGTGCCAACTAGCACTAACTTCCCAATTAAGTAACCTTCTTGAAACACAGGATGTTGTGCTAATGTGGAGCTACCGTGGGCAAGATGTGCTTTTGGCGACAAATAACTCTGATTTTGGAGATCGACATATTTTCTTTGAAAATTAGTTTACTATATAAAATTTTTACAGTATAAGAAAAATTTTTATTTAACCTTTTATCATTTAAGTGAGTATGACCTGATTGTTCCATGTACTTCATTGCGATTAAATTTTTTTCTTAAGAGTACAAAGTACTTTATATAATCGTGTTACTCAGCAGCTTATACGATCATAAATCGACGCGATTTGATCAAGGCAAAAGTTTATATGTTTTAATCACAAATACAACTATCGCAAATGATGATTATACCCGTATAATAGCATCCAAAAAACTCATTCCGGGTGTATACAGCACCAGATCTGCTTTCTCTGAGCCCTTCTAAAATCATATTTCCTACATTACGCGTCTTAATTACTATCCTCGCGTGTGTAATCATATTGAATTTTTTAAATGATTTTCCCGCAGTTTAATAAATATATATTCTATAAATTTTTATGTTTGCGAAGCAAATAATTTGGAGTTTATGCTGAGAAAAGGGACCATCTATTGCACTTTATGCACTTGGAAAAAAAATTTGATAAAAATTTTCAATTTGGTCCCTTTTTCCAGCATTCACCCATATTTCACCTTGAGAATTGAATAGAGTTTCTCTTAATATGAAAGTAAAGGAAATAATTTCTTCACGCTCCGATCAAACGACTTCTCTTTTTAATAAATGCTGAAAATTTTGCAAACAAAATTACAAAACTTTGTGATATTGATCGATCTTGCCAGAATAGTTCCAAAATATGATATTTAAGGATTCCCAGCTTTTCATATTTTTTTTTTTTTTCCATTGTTATTTTTTTTAACATAAGACAAAATGCACGATTACTTGTTAATGGTAATAATTATATTGATTATTATAATCTTGTCTTCAATATAATATTCCGAAATTGCTATTCAAAAAATACCTCGAATCGTTTAAATGTATAACCGGTCAGATTATTCACGGTTAACCACCTTCGTTTTACTGCTTTTAGTTTCATTTTACTCCATCGGTGAAAGATGACATGATTTCGTATATTGGATGGAATTGTAGCATTCCTGTTGAAATTAAAATAACGTTGGCTGAATACCCGCGTTTACACGATTTTCTAATTCTTTTTCCTTTTTTTTTTTTTTTACTTTTTTTTTTCGTTTTATCTGATTATACTATAAAGGACAATGAATTCGATAAAGCAATAATAATTCATGTTTACATCTACCTACCAAAGGTCGTCAATCGTCAACGTGTTTGCGCATAGTACGTAGTACAAAGTATAGAAATTTATGAATCCCCGGGATAGAAATCACATAAGGAAGTGATTACACGTTTTCTTACGGTAACCGATCAGATAAAGTAAGGTCGTTGGTTCCGATGCCTGGTTCCGATGTTGTCTCCGATGCTCCATTCCGGAAGTTCTCCTGCGGCAACAATTGAATGTATTAATTTGCGATTGTATTAGGACTTGTAGAAATTTAGGAAGTTGGAGAGAAATCAATCATCTCGACTTCATCATTTATCATTGTTTCAAGAAATCAATGCAAATAAATTTCTACCTCGTTACAAACATTATCCTTGTTCAAAGTAATTACTGTCGACCAGGAATTCAAATAAAAGTCCATTGTTCGAAAAAATTTCACTCCACAATATGAATATCATTAATTTTTAACAGTATAGGTATTACTTTTATTTATTCATACGCTTAATGAGTAAGCAATTTGAAGATGAATTATTCCGCTTAGTTCCATTTAACGCATTTTGCTATTAAAAAAAAAAATAAGGAAAGTCGGAAAACTAATAACCCCATAAAAAAAATAATTAAATTATTGATGCGCACAAAACATTTAGTGGCATCTTCGATATTTATTAATTTTCTATAAAGAGCTTACATAAATCATATTAACACAACCTCATAGAGTATTAATTAAAATGTGTGCGCAGATCAAAGTAAAGATACAGCATAAACCATGATCACATCACATTATCTTGATCGTTATTAAATTAAACTTCATCTTCCTCGGCTAAATATTGAATTAAATTTAACTTATTTACATTTTTGCATTTGACATATCAAAATAAATATTATATTAATTAACTCTTACATGTATTTGTCATGTCTTCTAAAAAATTTGGGATCACGAGTTCAAGCTGTTTGGTTTCTGATCAAACATGAAAGTAAACCGTATTAGAACCAATTTCTCATAATTTTTTATCAATTTTTTTTTTTTATTGCATTGATAATTACCTGCCATACTAGAAATAACGTTAACGGGATTAGGAAGACCTCCAAAACTCAAAAGTCGACTTGTATAAATAGCCTCAGGATGCGTGACATAACTAATTCCTGAAAATTTGCCTGGATCATAATTTGGATCATAACTAGGGCATGATTCGAATTGCTTATAAATTATTGATTCCTTGTTTTCATAAACCACATCCTTATAATATTGACCCAAAGTATTTTTCAATTGTTCGGAGGAA